GCCAACCTGGTCTACAGAGCAATTTCCAGGACAGTCAAGGCTACAAAGAGAAACCCTGTATCAAAACAACAAAACCCGGGGGCTGGAGATATGGCTCAGTGGTTAAGAGCACTAACAGCTCTTCTAGAGGACCGGGTTTCAATTCCCAGCACCCACATGGCAGCTCACAACTGTCTGAAGATCCAGTTGCAGGGGATCTGACACATTCACAACAACGTACATAAAATAGTTAAATAAACCATAAAAATATTTAAAAAAAAACACAAAAGAAGTTTAGCATTACTCATTAAAATCTAAACTAAAATGCCTTTAATTTCAGTGTAGGAAAGTAGAAATAGGTGGAATGAGTTTGGAACTAGACTGCTCTAAGAAGAAAATTTCAGGCCAGCACAGACTAACTACTACACAATGAGAGACTGTCTCAAAAATTAAACTAGAATAAAATGTACATAGTTTTTGTCAATGTAGTGCCTCCTAGGAATTCCATCTTAAACCAACAGAGGAGCTAGAGAGATGTCTTAGTGCTTAAGAGTGCTTGCTGCTCTTCCAGGGCCTGAGTTAGGGTCCCAGCACCTTAGTCAACTGGCTCAGGATGGAATGTAACTCCAGCTCCAGGGGATTTGACACCTCTGACCTGAGGACCATGTACCCATATGCAGACACACACATCATTTAAAAAAAGAAAAGTGGTGGTGCAAACCTTTAAGCCTTTAATCTCAGCAATTGAGAAGCAGAGGCAAACAATCTCTGTCTCAAAAGCAAAACAAACAAAGCTGGATGTGGTGCTCATGCTCTTAATCTTGGCACTTGAGGGGCAGAGGTAGGATGATGATCTCTACGAGTTTGAGGCCAGTCTGGTCTACACAATGATTTCCCAGGACAGCCAGGGATATATAGTGAGACCCTGCTCAGAAACAAAGAGGAGGAGGAAAAAGGAAAGTGGGCAGTAGGCCTGTTTACTAAGATCTATATAAAGAATATCCACCATAGAACTGTTGCAGTTAAAAGATTCTGTACATTAGAGAAGATGAATGGATTATTAATGGTGTATTATTGATGACACAAAACTTTACTCCCTAAAAACATGTCATGTTTGGTGGAGGAGGGGAAAAATTAAGTTATGTACCATTCTAGTTGGGGATATTTGGGAAACCTCTGTCTCTAGGGAATTTTACTGTGAATTTCACGTTACCCTTAAAAATAAAGTCTCCCCCCCTTAAAAAAACAAACAAACAAACATTATTTTAGGGGCTGAAGAGATTGAAGAGATGAACTTCAAGGTTAAGAGCACTGAATGATCTCCCACAGGACCCAAGTTCCATAGCCAGTATCCACATGGGGGCTCATAACCATCTATAACTCTAGTCCTAGGTGATCCAATGCCTACTTCTGGCTTCCATGGGCTCCAGGCATGCACATGACACAGAGACATACATCAAACACCTATAAAATAAACTAAAAATAAAAACATTATTTTGAATATGAAGTGTAAAAAATTTTTAACCCTGATTATCTTTTCTCTAACACTTTTGTTATTGTTCTAAGCATTAAACAGAGCAAATATCACTGCCTCTGTAATTAAAAACAAACAGCAGGAGCTGGAGAGATGGCTTAGTGGCTAAAAGCACTGTCTGCTGTTCCAGAGGACCTTGGTTTAATTCTCAACACACGATAGCTCATTAACTGTCTGTAAATCCCATTCCAGGGAATCTCAGACCCTTGCACAGACACACATGCAGGCTACACACCAATGCACATAATATAAAAATAATTTTAAAAAAACAGCTAAGAGATGCAAAACAAAAACACAAAAAACCCCAATAATTTTGTAGCATGAGCACAATTAATGGACATTTCCTATACAGCCATTATTGTTACTGACAACACTTCAATCTAAACGTCATGCCTAAATTTGAAATGCTAACAACTTGGAGAATACATACTTCGCTAAAGTTACACTAGCTTTCTGAAAAGAACTGTACCTTACCATGAAATGTTATGCTAGCTTTTATTTAAATTAGGCACTAGATCAATTTTTCACATCATATTACAAGTATTACCGCCTTTTATATATTTTTAAATTAATTTATTTATTTGTTTATAAAAATTTCCACTTCCTCCCCTCCTCCCCATACCCTCCCATTCCCCCTCCTCCCTCTCCTCCTCCCTCTCCAGTCCTAAGAGCAGTCAGGCCTTTTATATTTTATAGACTTGGGAACTGAAATGGAGAAATGGCTATATGAGACCCCACGTCTCAAAAATTAAGCAACACTAGTCTGTAGTGTTACCTTTGGAATGTCTGTAATTCTTTTTTTTTTTAAATTGTTTTTGTTCCAACATAATATCTTTATTGATTATCTGGGAATTTCACCTCATGCACCCTGATCACACATACTTCCCAATCCTTTCAGGCCTGACTCTCACCCTTATGACATCCCCCTACCCACCCAAAATAGGAAAAAAGCCCAGTTTGTGTTACCCATATACTAACTAGAGCACAAACTCCTAGTTGCCAGCCTCTAAAGTAAACTGAGTCCTTGCCCACCTGCACCCCTGCCAGAAGCCATCAACTGTAAAGAGCTATACTTCAGTATCCTTATCACACTCTTTCCTTCCTTCCTTCCTTCCTTCCTTCCTTTTGGTTTTTGTTTTGAGACAGGGTTTATCTGTGTAACAGCCCAGGCTGGTCTTGAACTCAGAGATCCGCCTGCCTCTGCCTCACAAGTACTTATCACAATTTTTAAGAGTTCTCTTTAGCTTTCTGTCTAGGCTATTTCTTTTCTTTTTGGGGGGATGGAGGGGAGGCTTTCATTCTCGAGTCTCCTAATTTGGCCCCAATAATATGAATATGTTTACATTAACTTCAAGAACCAAAGCTAAGCCAAACGTTTGAATAAGTCCACATATGGACATTGGAAGTTTTGTTTTTCATCTTAAAGCCCCACATTTCTTTTGAAGGAACATATAATTTTGCAATTTAAAAACACAAGAATCCTACCTCAATTTGATGACAGATTTTGGCCTCCAGAGCAGCCATTTTTTCATTATCTCCATTTTCAGCCATTGTGGCTATCTGTAAAATTTCTCACACTGGAAGAAAAAGATTATTATTTTTATATAAAATAGCCAAGACAAGAAAGAGAAGGATTAAAAACCACTCTTTTATTAAATTTCAAGAATTTCTAATTTTACAGGTTGTTTCCTATGAATTCCCATGTATCCCAAAAAAGCAACACCTTGTATTATGGATGGAAAAATTCAAGGTCAACAACCTGCTATTCCTTTCAGTAAATCACACTTCCCATTCTATTTTGTTATCTTTCTTCCCCAACAATAGTAAATTTAATTGTGAATAAAGGAATGTATATCCTACTCAATGAAAGAACAAAATCATAATCATGATAAACAATTATAATGCTGTGTGATACAAACTCTACAAGTAATTTTGGTTTAACGGAACATTAAGGAAAATATTTATAAAAAATAGTTTACAAAAAAATCCTTATTTTAGTGAAAAACATCAGGTTGGATGGAGTGATGGATCTCATTTCTGCTTTGTTGCTGATTACTAGGCAGAGGCTTTCTTTTACTGGGATTATCTATATTGTTGGAAGTCATTTAATGGAGAAAAAAATCTCAAGATGTGGGGTCTGTGTGAGTCAGTGTAAGCATATGGTCCATCTTCATTTGAAACATGTGATTGCCTTACGTTTCACAAATACATGTTTGTTCTTATAGTTTCCAATTAATCAAAAAAGATTTAATTTTTTATTGTTTTTACTGAGCTACGTATTTTTCTCCACTCCCCTCCCCCCCACACCCCTTTTACCCTCTCCCATGATCCCCACACTCCCAATTTATTCAGGAGATCTTGTCTTTTTCTACTTCCCATGTAGATTAGATCAACGTATGTCTCTTATAGTGTCCTCATTGTTGTCTAGGTTCTCTGTGAACTGTAGGCTGGTTTTTCTTTGCTTTATGTCTAAAAGCCACTTATGACTGAGTACATAAGATATTTGTCTTTCTGGGTCTGGGTTACCTCACTCTTTTTTTGTTATCTTAATGAAGTTGGTAACGCAAGCTTCAGAGAGAAAAACTACTCACTTAACCACTTCTCAACCACATCTAGCTTTAAAAAGATCAGAATTACAGTCTGTCGACATTGTCCTATCGCTCTCAATACTATTTGTTTGGCACAGTTGGCATTTCTTTTCAAATTAGTCACAGCTGACTTACCAAAACTCATTACTGGCAAAAATGAAAAAAAAATGGTCAAAAGCAAAAGTTATGGTAGTTAGATACTATATAACTGAATATAAGAAAAATGGGAACTTGAGAGCATAGGTACACAAAAACTTTAAACTGGGGTGCCTAACACACGAACACATTGGTTTTAACTCTATAGTCGGCTTCCTGTTTCGCGGCCTGACAGCAATCCTGGAATATGAGAGTGTGATGCTGGTTTGCTAGAAATCACAAACCGGATATTCCGACTTACTAGCTTTCAGCGCTCTGCTCCATAAACCACCCAGCTGTACTGCACTACACTGCACGAGCTCATCAAGACTCTCCGCAGTCGTGGGATAGAGCGACGAGTTGCTCTTGGTGTATTAGCAGAACGGCTCAGAAAGCTGGCTTATAACATGGAGACCACTGAAGGTCCTGCAAGGGGAACCCTACACGGTACATATCCCATTTCAGACTTCACGGCCTCAGGAACCGGTTTGTCTCCCACCATCACTACACAGAGACCTAAGTTCCTGTGCGAAGCAATGACAAAAACGACCTAGTTAGCTCCTGCAAGACTTCTGGGGCCTAACCAATTTTGGAACTGTTTTACAGATACTTCCAAAGAATTTCACACAGGAGCACCTTTCCGGGGGGGGGGCGTGAATGGCAATTAAAAAAAATCAAAAAAACAAAAACACTCAAGACAGCACCGCTGGGAACGTAATTGCGGCCCCCACTTCTTTGGCCTCTTTTTCCCCCAGTTGGTCACCACAGACCCCTGCAGCGTTTAACCCGCAGCGGCCATCCCG